AAAAGTATACATGAAAGTTGTTTAAATACATATTTAAATTTGCTAAAAATAGCTCTGATTGCAGGAGAAAATTAATTAAAGTAGACGAAAAGCTTCTAATCAGATTTATGCTATCTGATCCTGTAATTAGACCTGGCTTTTAGGCCATCCTAATAAGTTTATTTGAAAAGGAAGAGAGATCATTGTTTATTGGAATGGCAATAATTTGGGTTTCTTTAATTGACTCCTGGTGTGAATACGTTGATGCCTGCTGTTCTCTAAGAGGCAGCATGGAAAGTTTCCAGGAAAAGTTCACATTCCAGGGGCGGCTTTGGAATCTACTTTCCAATGCAACCCAAGTCTGCCATTGGGGCTTGAATTCGTCCCAACAAAACGCCAACTTTCAAAGGCAGCCTCACCAGGCAGCAATCATCATGGCTACGCCAGGGGGCTGGATAAGGAGCCCAGTTTTGAGCTGGGCCATCAAGATAATAGAGCGCATTTCCGAAATCTTACCTTCCCTATGTCCAAAGCACTAAAAAGCACAAAGGGTGCCAAAGGCTGTGACTTCAGGAGCCAACAGTCAGGATTTGTAGACAGCATTAACATTCTGACATTGTCAGCCGCAAAAGAGCTGCAATGAAGGGGGAGAGAGGAGTACTAGATCTTTCTCCTCCCAGAGCTCCCAAATTCCCAAAAGCAGTTTTGTCAGTTGCCTGCTAGAAATGAGTACATTCCATAGGAAATTAATAAGGTGCAAAATAAAAATAATCCATAACTCATTTGAAAGCAGAATGCATTTTGAAGTCTCTCACTACTTTAAGTGCTAGTAAATCGATGTTTTCTTTATAGGGCGTTTTGGTCAGAAAGAAGGTAGAGACCCCTGGGTGGCTCTGTTGGTTAAGTGTCCGACTTTGGCTCAGGTCATGATCTCACAGCTCATGAGTTCAAGCCTCACATTGGGCTCTGTGCTGACAGCTCAGAGCCAGGAGCCTGCTTAGGATTCTGTGTCTCCCTTGCCTGCTTGTGCTCTGTCTCTCTCTCTCTCAAAAATAAAGATTAGAAAAAAAATTCTTCAATAAATTTTTTTTTTAAAAAGAAAGAAGGTAGAGAAGAGAGGTCCTGAAAGAGGAAGTGGGGATGTCAAATCCTGGTTTGACCCTGAAGACCTAACAGATGACCAACTCTCTATACATGATCATAATGGCAACTCTCCTCCCTTCTTCTAAGAACATCCAGCATGCAACCCCACCATGTTGGTATAGCACTAATCATGGCCCTTTCCATGACCCAGTCCCCCTGAACATAGTTAATCATTTGAAGGTAGGCATCTGACGCACGCTGGGTCACATTGAGCTTTTCCCAAGGAATTAGAACTGGAGCTAAAGAAGAAGTCAGTCTCTCTCTGGGTCTCTGGGCTGTGGGATGTAAAGTCCAAGAGCCATTAAATGCCATCTCACTGGCTTCAGAAATGAAAGGCAGAGTAGCATCCCAGTACCATTCAGGTCCCTGATTCTGCTTGTTCCTGAGATGTAGCTCAATGTCATCACCATCATACTAGTTAACCCTTTTTGCTTAATCTAATTTGCATTGGGTTTCTGTCCTTTGTAACCAAAAGAGTCCCGACCAATAAAACACACCTTTCTGTTTAAAAAAATAAATGTTTAGGGGCGCCTAGGTGGCGCAGTCGGTTAAGCGTCCGACTTCAGCCAGGTCACGATCTCGCAGTCCGTGAGGTCACGATCTCGCAGTCCGTGAGTTCGAGCCCCGCGTCAGGCTCTGGGCTGATGGCTCGGAGCCTGGAGCCTGTTTCCGATTCTGTGTCTCCCTCTCTCTCTGCCCCTCCCCCGTTCATGCTCTGTCTCTCTCTGTCCCAAAAATAAATAAACATTGAAAAAAAAATTTTTTTTAAATGTTTAAAGAAATAATTAGAATAAGAAAATAATTAGGATGTCTTTCTAATAATCTTCTAGGTCTTCTTCCTCTTCTCCACAGGATTTTCCTGATTTTTACTGCCTAAAATGTCTCTTATCGTGGAGAATATCTGATAGTGCCAACTTCTAAAGCATAGTGGTAACTGGGAAAGAGGTGGGAAATAAAGCAAATGAAAGAGTAGATCTGAAATACATTGAGGACACCTACCTGGCACCTCCAGAAGGACTGGGTCCAAGTCCTCCAAGAAGCAGACACGAAGACAGGATTAGATGTGCAAGAGATTTATTAGGAAAAACACCTGTGAGGGAAAATGGGGAGGGAGCCAGGAGAAATGTCAGACTGGGGATAGGTCTGACCTTGTGAAGGAGAGGGGTAAAGGAGGAAAGTTAAGATGGAAGTATCTTAGACTGTTTTGCAGTTTTAAGAAATTCTTTTTTTTTTTAATGTTTATTTTTGAGAGAGAGTGGGGGGAAAGGGCAGAGAAAGGGAGGGGGGAGGACAGAGGATCTGAAGCAGGCTCTGTGCTAAGAGCAGAGAGCTCGATGCAGGGCTCGAACTCACAAACTGTGAGATCATGACCTGACCCTAAGTTGGACACTTAACCAACTGAGCCACCCAGGCACCCCAGTCCTAAAATATTCTTTAAAGGTTTGGCAAGGCGGGGGCGTCTGGCTGGCTAAGTTGATAAAGCATGCGACTCTCGATCTAGAGATCATAAGTTCAAGCCCCATGTTGGGCATAGAGCCTATCTGGAAAAAAAAAAAAAAAAAAGTTCGGCAAGGCAGCCAGGAGTCCTTGAGACAAAGTTACCCACCGGAGGAGTCTCCCATCTGCAGTGTCTCCCAAGAACAAGCCCGCCCGCTACAGTATTGCTGTCATACTCAGTCATCAGCTAGGAGCAGCCTGTGGGAAGCTTGGAAGCAGGACAACTGCAGTGATGGATTTCAGAGCAGGCAACTGGGGCCCTCAGTCAATTATGCTGTGCACAGTTGGAGATCTGAGAGGTACTTTTTCATGGTCACCATGGTCTGCCTCTTCTCTCCACAGGGCCTCATTCAGCACCTATTTCTTCAATGTCCACTTGAATGCCACCCGCTCCTCTGCCCTGATTTATACAAGCAGAAGTATTCTATTCCTCTGGATTCCCACAGCATTTGCTCCATCCTTCTCTTACACAACCTAATACTTTCTACCTTCTGTTACTTTCTTGCAATACTTTCTATTTTATATTGTGAGTGATATATGCGGCCCACCCAGATACAACTAACCCCTGTAAGCCACTATTCTATTAGGGGACCAAAGTGGGAGTAGAGGCTGCTTACTTTATTTGCCTACTCTAGGCACTTGAATTTTGACCTGAATACTCAGAGTTTACCTCATTTAGGCAGTTGCTTTATTCCCTCTAGTCTCAGACTCGTATTTGTTCACATCTTAACATTTCTAAAATTGGGAGGCCACTTAGAACTTATGTTAAAAGAAATTTGCCACCTGCTGGCAGGAGAGTAAGTTGAGACAGAGCTGTTACTGTCTGCCCATGGGAGGACTTAGCACGGCATATTTACAATAAGTGAAGCAAATATTTATTGCTGAAGGCATGACTACACTTTCATGTTTTCTAGCAAAACAACAGCCAAGCACTCCAGAGGACCCTAGAAGAGGATTGCCAGTCTACACAATGGGCATAGTAATTACATACAATAAAAACTGACAGACATCTCAGGAGAAATAGCAGAATTTTTAAAGTTAAGTTGGTATGATTAACTCATTCATCACAAAATGATTTTCAGGCACCAAATATTTTTTAGAACCTTCTTTGTAACTTTCACAAGAAGCTGTTTACCTTGTAGAAAGGGTTAATTTAATTAACAGTAGAACAAAATTATTAATTTAACCAAATAGGGAATACAAATGAAACCCTGGTATTCTACAATATAGCTAACAAGTAGACTGCCTAAGCCTACATTTGCTAAGAAAGTCAAGATCACTAGGCCAGGTGATAAAAAGCAGAGGATCCTCGTGATGCTATCTATGCACAACTGTCAATGGTCACAAAGGATTCAGAAGAATCCATAGGCTGAATCTGAAAGAGGTTTGTTCTTGGGGTGCCTGGCACAGTTGGTAAAGCATGTGACTCTGGTCTCAGGGTTGTGAGTTCAAGCCCCATGTTGGGTGTGGAGATTACTTAAAAGTAAAACTTTCAGGGGTGTCTGGATGGCTCAGCTGGTTAAGCTTCCAACTCTTAATTTCAGCTCAGGTCATGATTCCTGGGTTGTGGGATTGAGCCTTGCATCAGGCTCTACAATAAGCACAGGGTCTGCTTAAGATTCTCTCTCAGGGTGCCTAGGTGGCTCAGTCGGTTAAGCATCCAACTTTGGCTCAGGTCATGGTCTCATGGTTCATGGGTTCGAGCCCTGTGTCAGGCTCTGTGCTGGTAAGCTCAGAGCCTGGAGCCTGCTTCAGCTTCTGTGTCTCTCTCTCTCTCTCTCTGCGCCTCCCCCGCTCGCACTCTGTCTCTCAAAAAAATGAATAAATGTAAAATAAAAATTAAAAAAAAAGACTCTCTCTGGCTCTCTCTCTCTCCCTCTCCATCCCTCTCCCCTGCTCTGCTCTCTTTCTAAAAAAACTAAAAAACAAAACAAAACAAAAAAACACTTTAAGAAAAAAGTGAAGAGGTTTTTCTCAAACATTGAGTGAGGTACTGAAAAAGAATGTACAAATAAGTGTTATATTTATAGTAGTCTTTTCCCCCTTAAAACCTGTTATTATATTATCAGTGTATCTAAAAATGTATGGCATCTCGAACTTGAGGAACTAGGGTTACTATAATAACAATGGAATAGTTCTTCAACTTTTGACTTTAGGTTGATGCCAAAATGATTTGTTAAGAATGACTAAATGCAAACTCTGTAATAAGAATTCTGTACAGTTTAAATATTGAGTTGGCAAAGCTCAGTACCAATGGTCATCAATTTGCTGGTTCAGTTTACAATGGTTCAACTTCAATGTTTCAACTTTATGATGATGTGAAAACAAGGTACACTCAGCAGAAAGTGTGCTTAAAATTTTTAATTTTGATCTTTTCCCAGGCTGGTGATATGCAGTATGATATTCTCTCATGATGTCTGGGCAGCAGCGAGCTGTAGCTCCCCATCAGACCATGATCAGGAGGGTAAACAACTGATATGCCAACCACCATTCTCCACCCATACAACCATTCTGTTTTTCACTTCCATTTCATTATTCAATAAAATTGCTTGAGATATTCAATGCTTTATTGTAAAATAGGCTTCGTGTTAGATGATTTTGCCCAGATTTAGGCTTATGTAAGTGTTCTGAGCATGTTTAAGGTAGGCTGGGCCAACTGGTGATGTTCAGCAGGTTAGGTATGTTAGTTGCATTTTTAACTTACAAAATTTTCAACTTACAATGAGTTTATTGGGACTTAACCCCATCGTAAGTTGAGGAAGATCTGTATATGCATCACAATTCACTCTCCCTCCATTGCCTATGGGAGACATAACTGATCAGCCATGGAACTCCTTTTTGCTAGGCCACAACTCTGCAGAATTATTCTCAATTAAGTGTTCTAGGAAGCCACTACCAACTGATTGGATTTAGTACCAAATAAAAAACCTGTTTGCCATCCCTATGTTCTTATGTGGAATTATCTCCAAAGAATATACAAGGGGTTCTGACACCAGTCTCCTCTCTCTCCACCCTGAGAGATTAGTGAAAGCTTACAATAGCATGGCCAAAGAACCATTTGTGGTTCAGCTTGGAATCTTCTTGCAGGTTCTAGAATCTATAGACCTAGTGTCCCACATTGTTTTAAGCCATCCCACCCTGTTACTAATCACAAAAAGGTGTGATTTTCTTCCTTAAAATATGCCCTACAATGCTTGCTGACTGTTCTGCTAACTAATGAAAATGGCAGTGTGGTACTTCATAAAATTTAACACTCTCACCAAGTGTTCTGTGTCTTAATTCTCTTGGTCTTTAATCAGAGTGTGCGATCCTCTGTTAGGAAGGATAAGAATCACCTCCTGCTTAGAACTGAAGCTGAAAATGTATCCCTTATTTCAGGGTAGCTTGAAATTTTTTGTGCCATACCATCAAGCTCCTCCTGGGGAAAAGCAACTCAGGGTATTACTATTTAATCATGCCAAGTAACATATAGGCTTATTGGAGCATGTCTTATTTTCCCTTGCTAGGCTGTGAGCCTCCTGAGCCCAGGGACTGTACTATTTATGTATCCCAATTATACCATCTTATATCAAAACTTCATATAGAAGGTGCTCAATAATTTTTTTCAGAAAGGGGCTCAAAGGGGAGAGAATTCTTTTACAGTACTGGGTTACATCTCCATTGTAATCTGTTGTGAATCTTGGATCTGAGGAAGGATTAAAAGAATTTTGTTTCTATAAATATTAACCTCCTCATCTCCATCCCCAAGAATCCCTGATATTCAAGGAATTCCTCAGCCTAAAAAATAACCTTTCATTTGCTCCATCTATGGTTCTCAATGCTGGCTGAACATTAGACTCACCTGGAGAACTCCTAAAAATCATAGTCCCAGGGCCCTAGCTCAGAATAATTTAAGCAGATTCTGTGGGGGTGAGGGCACTGGCACATCATTTCTCCTAGTTTGTGCAACAGCCCCACAGGATAGGTGCTATTATTCCCATTTTCCAGGTGAGAAAACTGAGGTTCTGGGAGGGTAGGAATTTTCCCATTACACATCTAATAGGAGATAGAACAAGACTGGTTCCCAAATAGCTCCCAAATGTGTGATGTTTTTGATAAGTGCCCTCCTTAACATATTTTAACAACATGTGAGGTAGTGCCACTGAAAGCCCTTGCCCAGCTAAGCTGTGGACAAGCTGGCATCAGATACAGAGAGCCATTCATCCACACAGAGCAGCAGGAGAGGACCTTCACTTGCCCAAGCAGAGCAGGCACAAACCTTAACTGTCTCTGAATTGTGAACTGTCCTGTTACATCTCAGCACCATGACCAGGATGACTGTTTTCTCTTGAGAAACCATAAAGTTAGGGAAACACAAATACTAGGGCTGGATGGCCAGCCAAAAGTCAACATCTTTTGTAAATATTCTTGAAGTTTGAACATTTTTAGTTCCTGAATGATGCTGCTATGTATTTAGATTTCAGTGAGCGTAAGTGCATGGGATAATGTTTGATTTTTAACAAGATAAGATGATTTAAATGGATTGATATGGGGAAGCCAAAAGTGAGAACAGCTTGCCTTCTTTCTCATCTCTGCTTCGGTACTTTCACTTGATATATTCCCTAGACAAAACAAGAAAACTCAAAGCAACTCTCAAGAAGACTAAAGAATTTCCTCTAAGAATGCCCATCTTTATTAAAGAATTTAATAAACGGTTTTTCCCCCAAATGTTGCACAAATGGCTACTTTTTCCTGCTATTCTGAAGCTACTGAGACATCTTGGGGTGGGCAGAGTCACCGCCAGACTCCCCGGGTTATAGTGGAGGCAGACTTCTTTCCCCAGCTTGTGGCTGACTGGGGACAAGCCTTCCACAATATGGATTTCGTTGTTTGAACTCCCTCAGCTCAGCAACGCCCCTTGTCAGAGCACAGAGCCTATAGTTATATCACAGATCAGCCCAGGAAACAGCTAGTCATGAATCACAGAGGCTCATGGATTTCTGCCGAACAAAGAACTTCAGCTCTGGGAAACTTTCTGGCTCAGACTTTCTCTCCGTCCCGGTGGTAAAGCAGGTAATTTCCAACCATCCTGTAGAAAACCAGTGCAAGGATCACACAAGGCAGGTGTATTCAACCCAGCCATGGCTTTATCTTCTCACAACCACAAATGCTATTTTTCATACCAGCTGCATCCCAAACCCTGAGTTAAGATGGTGATTAGTGGTGGTGGTGGGCGTCTCAGTAGGAGCTTTCTTAAGAAGAAAGGGCTTTGATTGAGCCAATGAAAGCTGTTGCCAGGGAACCAGATGCCATGAACAGGCCACTCCAGCAGCGCAAGAATACAAACCGGGAGTGCTGGACTGAGCATTAAGTGTACTTGGCAGCCGAGTCCTACAAGGCCTGTTAACCCTTTGTGCACCTAACTATGTCTAGACAGTGAATCAGGAGAAGGATTATTGTAAAATCTTAAAAGCCACTCCTGCTCTCAGTGTCTCCCATTGGAAGGCATTATTGCAAAGATGTTCTCCCTGCTTGACTAACAACTCCTCCGGGACACCTGCTTTAGAGTAGGTTGGCATCAGAAGTGGGTATGACCGAGGGCTGGCTATGAGCATGAGGTTCTACAGACGGCACTGCTCATATCTGACCACACTTGTTACATATGACACGATCCAACTTGTGATAGAGTTTTATCTGGTCTTTTGGCCCCTGGGGAAGGAATTCTGCTGCCTCAGGTGAGTCTGCTCTGTGAGATGAGAAGGAAATACTTCTCTTCTTCCTTAAATGTATACTTACAGAGTAAGCTGCTAGAAGTTGGCAGCCTCTTCCCCATTTTAAGGCTGTTGCTTGGAGGAGCGTGGGCATAGGCTGGTCTCAGGAAAATGGGGGAGCAGGCAAAGCTGCTGTGGATGGATCTCCCAACCTACCTCCCAAGGGATACTGTCCTCAGTCTTGCCCCACTTTTTCTCCCGTTTTCCCTCATTCTTCCCCCATCCATCCCAAATTCAGACATCCACTCTGGGTCCCATTCCTACACAGTGTAGTTAATTCAATCTCTACAGAGGGACTTGCATTTTAACTCCATTCTCAGGAATACCTGACTTTCCCAAAGGAAACTATAAAAATTGAATAACAGGCAGGGAGGTCATCTGTGGGCTAGGGGCTCATGGGTTCACAAGATGACCTGTAGCAGTGCCTGGGCCTTGAGATGAAGGTTCTCCCGAACCTAGGCTCCCTGATGCCCTTTCCTCTTCCTCAGACTGTCAGTCCCAGCTCCCTGGGGCTGAGGGTGGGGACGCATAAATCCGGACATCAAAACCTTACCACTGTGGGCAAATGGTGGGAAGAGAATTTGTGTATAGCTTGGGTTACACAATACATATGTCCCTGAAAAAAATATATGGTTTAGACATCAAATTAATATTTCTCTAAAATTATTAGTAGATGGCTTACAATTTTTACTCTGTGGTGGTTAGAAAGTATAAAAATTATTCTCATCACAGAGTTTAGAGAGTGAGCTGGAAGCCAGGTGACTGAGTAGTGTCTGATTGTGCAGCCCAACAACTTAGACTTACTGCCTATTCCACATGAGACTCCCTACCATGAGGAAATGACTCGCAGAACATCATTTTGTACAGTAAAACCTCACTACTATGTGCTAATGGTGGAGAGAGAATTCATGTGTATTCTAAATTATGGAATGAAATTTTTGTTAAATGATAATTTCTATGCATTGAGCACATACTATATGCCAGACACTGCACTCAGTGCCTTACATAAATCATCTATTTGTTAATTGAATAAACACCATCATAACAATACTTGATGAGAATCAAAAGAAGAAATTTTCCTACAACCATGCTAATGACATTGATAAAATATTTTATCTTCTTATTCTAATGTTCAAATTATCAGAATTCATGTAGTTTCGATGAATGGCATCTCCTCTGAGATTATCCCTTTAGAATTAAAATCACCGCTACTCTCATCACCCTCCACAGGTTCGTTCCTATGAAGGTTTGTTACTTTTGTCCCCAGTGACTGAGCTGCTAGCCAGAACAGTGATTGATTTTCCCCATGTTATGAAAGATCCAAAAATGTGTGATTTTTGTTTCATCTCCAACTTACTATCTCCCCACCATAAATTTAAAAGCTTCAATTACTGTGAGTGCTCCTACTAATAAAATGAAGCCCTGAGCAAAAGCATAGTTAAGTATTTTAGACTCTCAAAGCAAACCCTTTAGAAAGATCTAAAATAAATAGATCTTCAGTCCCCTCCCTTCTGAACTAGGCAGGCCATGGGGTCATAATTTATACATAAAGAGAGAAAGGAAGCAGGAAGTCATCAGTTTCTCCCTTGCTATGATTCTTGAATATTCTTTTTTTTTTTTTATAAATTTTTCTTTTTCAATGTTTATTTATTTTTGGGACAGAGAGAGACAGAGCATGAACGGGGGAGGGGCAGAGAGAGAGGGAGATACAGAATCGGAAACAGGCTCCAGGCTCTGAGCCATCAGCCCAGAGCCCGACATGGGGCTCGAACTCACGGACCACGAGATCGTGACCTGGCTGAAGTTGGACGC